TTCAAAGGTTTTTACCTATATTTCCCTCAATAAAACCTGACCTGACCTGACCTGACAAAAATTGTTCGTTCGTGCGGCAACGGATTCGATAATCCGATCAGGCCGAGGAGCGGCCTTAACAAGGTTTCGCTGGCAATTGTTTTCTGGATTACGGTAAAGTTTACCCTTCCGCGGCTACACGCACACAGATTGGTATAAAGTGAAATGGCAACCGTGGAGTGGGTTTTTCACGCCAACAGAGTCACAGAGTCTATTGTACAGGATCAGAAAGGTCCCTGATGCACAAAGAAAGTGCAGTACTCTTGCCGTCAGCAATTTAACGAACCCTTTCAGTGTGTCTAAAACTTTCGCAACGAACCAGTAGCTGCGACTTGAAGAGCAACTATTCAAACGGATAACTAGGAGGTACTCCTTCGTAATTAGGGTCAAACAATAAGTGCCCCATAATGCGGCTTTGACGGTACTCATATGTGAGCTCCCCGAGCCCCTAAATAAGGGCTGACTGGCGTGGAATTAGGAAGGTTACTTTACGATCAGCGTCATTTGATAACCTGTTAGTGAGGTCGACTGCAACATACAGTGCCCTAGTAGCATCGCTGTCGTCGGAAACGACAACTTATACATCAGACAAGATAGCCTCCTTATAATTTAGCTAGGCTCTTTCGAAGCCCATGTTATTCTCCGAAACTAACGGGCGCAACAGGCTGTTAAGCCCTATCAATAGAAGGCTAATTTACGGAGGCAAAACGTCTCCGTGCTGCATTCATTCAATGGTCTGTCATGGAATACCCATAAGGAATTGATGAGTTGCAAAAGTGAGGTGAAGCCACAGAAAGAGCGGACGACAATTTACCTTGGCCGCAGTAGCCAAGCCAATTCGAGGAACACCTGGGAAGTAGTCACAACCGGCTAGGACACCCATCTGCCGCAGAGTGGCCGGCGAGAAGTTTGATGGTGGAATGCCACAGCATTGTTCACCAAAACCGGCACTCCAGGTCACCAAGAGGCCATTGCCCATTAGGTCCAGCTTAAATATTACCTAGAGGAAGATATAAAGCCAAAACCTAAAGGTAGCGATTTAATAAATGATTTTCGGATCATAACCGGTAACGAGACGAGGCGAATTTATGTATCAGAAAAGATAAACTACTGAAATTTCAATTATGGAAGTCAGTAACAGAAGCAAAACAACATTGGCAAGAAGAAGGTGGTAGATAAAAGGTACAGCCATTACTACCACAAACACTACTGCTACTGTTACTATTGACAGTATTAATATTATCATGAGAAGCAGCAGTAGGAGAACAATGATAACTGTGCTACGCATTGATCATGGAGGCCTTGGGGAATTCAACCTAAAGTCACGCAAGCAAAGTAAATATTCCTAAATGAAATACAACTCACAAGTCTTAACTTACGTCATATCTCCCATAATAGGCACTCCCTGATCTCTATTAATGGGTTAGACTGTAAATATACCAGCTTGCCTTTTCGGAAGGAAAAAGTGTGCAACGCACTTTGGATTGTTGGAGTTCTTAGTATATTAATCACGAGGAGCATACCTATGGAAGCATTAGTTGATTAAAGTACAAGCCCTGCCCACACATAACTCTAGTCTATATGAGTAGAAAAGGTACAAAAGACCTGTGTCTGAGGACCGCAGCTGTGCGTCTTCGTGGAGCTGTTTACAACGTCATTGTTGTTTACATTCCAATGTTATATGTTGAAGGGATATAGAAAGGGATAATGCCGAGAATTGTAGTCGGACGTGACCAAAAGTAGCTTTGAAAGTATAATGCGTCTACGGGACGAGGACAAGAACAACAGGCGGTAGAAAAAACTTGTTAATTTCGCTAGGAATAGCTATCTCAGCAGTTTTTGGGATCTCCAACCACCTCGCAATTGACAGATGGCTATACTGGAGATTAAATCGAGTACTTAGCCAACCAATCTTACTCGACCAGCGATTTTTGTCGACGACATTGACTAAGAACAGAACTGAATATACTTTTCGGCAGATTCAACTATGAAATAACAAACTATCGAATAAGTTAGTGGGAAAGGTTTTCTGAAGAAGTGGGGATACATCCATCAGCGTTTTTCAAGTCCCGTTAAAAATCACCCACTATGCTCACTGTGTGGACCTTTCCTCTAGAATAAACACTTCATCCCATTTGGTCAATCATGCTGCATAAGGGCATGACATTGAAGCTACTTCACCTGATTCAAGCCAAATCTCTTTAAAGTTGCCTTCGACCTCGTCAAGGACGTATTATCCAAGAAACTATTAGTGTGTGATGCTGGGTTGACTGTCCGGCAATGCCTTGGTTCGTGATTCGTGCATTGGTAATCTGGTCTACGCTTGTGTTTTCAGGACAAAAATGAGCAGCGAAAATCGAATTAGTCATGTACGTGCATTATTTGTCCAACATAATCGAATACTCGTAAATCGGAGTAGGATTAGTCAGAAGACCGAGATGCGAGTACACAAGGCTGTGGTTGAAACAACCTCTATGTAAATATGAGACGGCTGTGATCCCAAAATGTCTGTATCCACCGTGTCTAGTGAAGTGTCAAATTGAATCAAATGAAATTGGCACTTGACTATCATAATCTTAGAAAGAAGAACAAATTACCTGTTTACACCCAAACATCAACAAATCTGAGTCTTCGGTGATTATCAAGTCGACATAGCCCGCCTGAGCTAAATATGCGAGTTGAGCATCAGCCTCGTAGGGCGCAACTATGCAGTCGACACCGCGACGACGAGCCGCCTAAAAAATGGATGCAGTAGAGACTTCAGTGTTCGAAAAATAAAGAGCCATTACCTGGCTACGGAAAACAAATAGCATCCGTCACACATTTACAACGAATAAGGATGCAAAAACATGGAGATGCTATCAATAAGTATACCGTTCAGAAAAAAATGGGTGTTGATCGCAAGTGGAAGGATCATAAGGATGAAATAAAGTGGGATATTTTAGGCTCCGGGTGTTCAGAACCAGAAACAAATTTACCATGGAAACGTTATATAACTGCTATGAGATAAATATGATTTAGTACAATCTACAATGCATTTACTGAGCTTTAAATCTGACGTGTCTTAGCGACGCACGTGTAAAGGAAACATACCTTCATTACGGCACGAGCCATTTCTGGTGTAACCTCCACACAGCGCTCAAAACATTCTTGGGCAGCTCTTCTATTACCCTCTCGGAGATACTGAGCAGCTTTTTCTTTGTACTCCTTTTTCGACCTTAAATGCGATAGGTGGGAAAGCCTTAAAATTACTTTCGCCTCCGGATCTCGGTATCGGCTTTTGCCGGCAAATTCGCCCCATCAAAAACAAGTATTGGTTTCAGCT